TTTTATTATGTGTAATGGGCTGGTAGAACAATTTGATTAGTAATTTAAACCAGACATGAAAATAAGGCTTAAGCTTATGGGACAAGAGAAATGGCCTTTGTGTTGTTTATAAAGTGCCGCATCCTTCCATAGCCTTAAAAGGCAATTATTTCTTCTTCTTCTTGTTTAGTCCTATTGTGCCTATTTAGCTACTGTGCCTTCTACAAATTGTGTAACACTGTAGAGAGTTCTGCCTTTAGTTAGGATTCACAATGTCACTTGCCATAAGATTTTTTTTTTCAGTTTCAGTTATGCTTCTGTAAATCTACTCACAGGGATATATCATGTAGTCAGGTTTTCATTATAGCCTGAAAGATTAATCAAAACCAATCCAGCCACTTAAGAAAGAAAAAAAAAAAAAAAAAAAAGATAGATGGAAAATACTGTTTAAATGAGAAGCATTTATTATCTCTGTCCTTCGAGGTAGGAGATGGAAGAGTGGTTCATGATTGTTTCTCTATTGCCAGGAGAACTGATTAAATATGCCAAAATATAAGCATTTTAAATTTAAAATCTCCAATAGAAACATTCACAACAAGTGAGAAAAAATACCAGTGTTTCTCAACTTATGGTCTGCATCAGAAAGCTAGTCATTAAATGACTACATCTCTTATATACGATAAGTATTCATCCACACACAGAAGGAAGAAAATCAACAAATTGGTAATGATGTCCAATGTTAATTTCCCTTTTTCCCTTTCCTTTTTTTTTTTTTTTTTTTTTTTTCCTGGAAGCAGTGGGTCAAAGGTGGTTTTATTTCAGAATGGTTGTGGAGTTCTTTTTTATTTATTATTTATTTTTAATAATAATAATAAAAAAAAAAAGACAAAAGCAAAAGAAAATAAAACTTGGAAAATACTGCTGTGGACAACAGTCTTATTCACTGCATGTATTCACAGGAATTTTCTCCTCCTGTGCACAAAATAAAAAAAGATATGCTGTGAAAGAAGAGTGTTCGTGGAGGCTTGCATTGGATCTGAGGAGTGAATCACAGTACATAAACACAAGTACTCTGTGGCAAGCCAGATATTTCAATTCTTGATTTCTTTGTTTCTTCATTATAAGCAATTTTGAGGAGGTAATAAAAACAATTATCCTATAAATACTGTCCATTTTATTCTGTATCCATTTCTGGAGTTTGTGTTACATACTTCTAGAAAATATAGGGTTTAGTAATTCAGTGGCATTTCCTTGTTCATTTTAAATACAGTTTTCAATTAATAGTGCATAAACAGATGACTCTACTCCATTCTTATTTCTATTTTTTTCTTATTGAAATCACTGCAATTTTAAATACTGTACCTGTCAATTTAGATGTATTATATTTAAGACACACTAAAGCATTTAAGTTTTTTGTTTGTTTGTTTGTTTGTTTTTGTTCCTTAAAAATATCCCAGCATAGGAGTGAATTTAATAACATTAGATTCTGGCAAGAAGGACTAAGTAACAGGAAATAATCTATATTTTATTGCTTCAAGTGTCAAGCTAATAATATATACTTCTCAATTTTCCTATTGCTGATATGACTTATATATAAATATATATTTTTAGGAATAACAAATTAGAAAATTAAAAATTTCCTCTCCTCTCATTTTAATATATTTTACTGATGTGAAATTTGATCATGTTGGGTCAGTTTTTGGGAATAGAAAAGAGAAAGATAAAAAGCTATAGCTTGGATATAAGCAGGAAGAGCAAGTAAGCTATTTAGCATAGCAATACTTTGTCTCTTTAATGGTTTTCTGCTGATTGCAAAACTTCATCTGGAGAACATTAATGAAATTGCAGTGTGAAATATGTCTGGTGGACTAAAGCAATGTAATAAGAGACTTTGTAGGTATTGCATTGTCTTATTTATTTTTTTATTGCCTTAAGCTTCTTCAATGTACACAATCTGCATTTGACTTTATTCTCAGATATGCCTCATTTGATATGGGTACTTTCAAACAGAAAATAGAGAAGATGTCAAAACTTCTAATAAAGGAGGGCTTAGAAATGAAGTTTTTACCTGTATCAGACAGATTAGAGTCCTGGCTTTTTCCAGCACTGAATACCAAATAGTTCCTGCCTGTTACTCTTGTTCCTCTGCCATGGGATAGTTATAATTTGTGCTATACCTTCCTTGACTCTTTGTACCAACCCTGGTATACAAGGACAATCTGGACCATGAGCATTGTACGTGGAACAATCAATGTACCTGGAGGGTGCTGTCACTACACTAGGATTAGACAACTGGCCAGTATTAAACAAAAGATGTTTGTAAGCAGCTTTACTTTTAAATTTACTTTTGAATGTATTTATTTTTTCCTGTTACTTCTTAAAGACAGGTCTTCCCACCTCATTTCCTCTGCTTCTCAGTCCTTCTCCTGGCCTTGTAATACTGTCCCCACAGAATGGAGCAAAGTTATGCAGGGCTGGTGCCTGCCATGTCTTTGTCAGCCATCTCAGCACAGGGCTCATGTCTTGCTCGATGGGAGGGTAGAGAGGGTGGAGAAATGGGGATAAGTTCCCTGTAGTACTTCTCCCCAGCAAGGCCATGCAAGAGTCTTATGTGCATTATGTAGTCTGCATGGGAAGGGGTATTCTCATTCACAAAACTTTCCCCTGCATTGTTACAGGAAGCATCATATAGTGCAGTGCTAGACAGTGTTTGGTTTAACAGCCTGTAATATATTTGCACTTACACATCTTGCCCTCACCCTTACAGCTCTATTCCACTGAGCACATTTCCTCTAACAGGAAGACCCATGGAATTTTGTTTGCACTTTGTCAGTGGGGAAATCATGTGAGTTAGACATGCCTCAATTCTGGGCTTGAATTACACTGTTATCCTGCTGTCTGCTGTGAAGAGCTTTTAAGTGGAGTGTTTGCCATTAGAGCCTCTCCATGTGAATTATTTACTATTGACAGTGGTAGCCAGTAGGGAACATTTCTGTAGGTTATGGATTTATAATTATGCTGTTAGTTTAAGGATTAAAGCTTTTTTTGATAGCTTGGAGAGAGGGGGTTTTGGTTTTGAAACCATAGGAGTTGTATTAGAAATCTGACTGATTGTGTTTTCTCTGGCTCAGGAGAGGGAATATGGAATGAATAATAAAAATAATGCAAAGAATTATTTTCTCTAAAAGCACTTTAATCGGATTCCATGGACAGATGTCCAAAGCAGAAATTGCTGTGTTATTTTGAAAGGTTCAGCCTGGAGGCTGTTGTCCCTGCAGCAGGGGAGGCAAAATGAGCTGCTCAAATTCCCCTTGAGAGCTCCTGTGAGAAGTCAGCCAGACTCAAGCAGGAGTCCATGAGCAATAACATAAAGTATGGCAAAAATAACATTAACAGATATATTCCTGTGTGCCACCCTGGATTTACTGTGGTATTGGTGCTGTATATGTGGTATGTCCTTACATACTCTGGACTAGGAGTGGAGTGACTGTTACTGTGTGAAGGATGTGGCTGTGTGGTGTCCACATGTAGCCATGTTTGTAAGACCATGAGCTAAGGGCACTTCTGGGGCTGAGGTTTGGCTGCTCAGCTGGGGAGTGCTGCTGCGGTAGTGGTTTGTTCAGTTTCTTGACCAGAGAAGTCCTGAGTTCAGCTGTGTGTGATCAGACAAGCACTTGTCTATAGTGTATGTCCCACATTATTATTTATTTATTTTTTAAGATTTAATTGTAGCCATCCAAACAAAGCCTATGAATAAGGAAGGAGGTTTTATGTAGTGACAATAAATGGAAAATTAGAAATATACAAATCCATATACACTCTAGGTCCTCTTAACTTTATTCCCTCTATAAAGTGTAATACTTTTAAAGTATCATATTTCTATATTCATTTAATAAATTACGACAATATTAAAAAGTTCAAAACAGCCCTAGAAAGACAGCCTGAGAATAGAGTCTAACATGAGGTGGATATGCTTCTTTAAACAACAGGTCTGGAAATGAATGACTTCTAATAATGAAAAAAAATAGCTATTCTCTAAATCAGTGTACAAATCTTAATTACATTCAAGATTATTGCCTTACTGAAACAGCAAAGGGTAATGAGCACAAATGTAATTTTGCAATTAGACTTGTCCTTGTTGTTTTTATTTTATCTATTTATTTTTTGGAAGCTAGTGCAACTGTCATGGAATAAAAGAGGAATTTCAGAAAACCACAGTCCAGAAAATGTACAGTTGCCTCAGGAGGAGGGCAGTGGGCCTGAAATATTGCATTAACTTATAAACAAGTTGCTAGCTATTGTTTTGAAAACTCCTCTCTAGTCATGCTGCGAATGGGCTGTAATGTGGACACTGTTGGTACAGCCTCTCGGGAGTGATGCAGTGCTCGGGTAAAGCACCTGCTGCCATGTGCAACAGCCAACCCACAGTGGTTGGCATCGCTGTTAACTTTTCCAGTCTGTGGTATTTTCCCCAGTCACACTAAAATGGTTCTGAATAATGCTGGACTGAAATCTCAAAAAAATAATAATAATTAAAAAAAAAATCTAAATTTCTTCAAGCCTTTATTTAGGGAAACTTACTCTTCAAAGTAACATAAATAATGGAGTTCTTCTATCTTTGCATAAATAACTAAAACATGTACCCTCAAACTGTTCAGTAGGTTTTGAGTACATCCATATTTAATATTATTGTTATTACAATGGCTTTCACAGTGAGCTGACTGACAAAATCATATGAAATGCGTGTTTTCGTTTAAATATTCATATAAATAAAAAAAAAACATCCTCCTCGGACGGTGTTTCAGTGCAGAAAGAACTGTGACATCTGAGTTATAAACCCTTAACAGTCATTTATAGTGAAAATGCTGATACAGCAAGAAGTGTACTGCTGTAGCTGATGTTGCTATAATGTAAATTCTACTTTCCTTTTTCTGTTTTTGTTTCTCTTCAATAGCTTATTGTGAGCATTAGCAAATGTATTTGAAATAAGCCACAATCATTTCTTGCTCTTCCTTTTTCAGAAAGAGAATTCCACAAGGACAATGAAAACTTACTAATCAAAATAAATGTATGAGCTAAGGAAATAATCCCAGGATTGTCACAAACTCTGCTTAACACTGTCCTGGTACGGCTATGGCTGATTTTAAGATTGATGTTTTGCTGGGACTGCATTTTATTTCACTGAGATACTCACAGTCTGATTTTTTTTTCCCAACATAAATAGATAACTGTACCAATATGTCGATACACACAAAATGCATAAGATGTGTGACTACATAGAATTGAAATATGTTCAAAATAGATATAGATACACGACAGTGAGAATCTCTGTCCAGAAGAAGAAAAATAAATGAAGAGAGGATTGGATTTGATCACTCCTGATTTATAGCATTTGTCACCTTTTTGAGAGAGCCCCAAGGCATGCTAGATGATCTAGAAATAGGGCTGGAAAGGTAATAGGACCTCTCCTTTGGATGCGCTCTGGTGGTGTGTAAGTGAGAGGCAGGTCCTGGGTTGGGGGAATAATCAGAAAGAATCAAACAATTCAATCTTAACATGTGAAATTAAAAAGATGGGCTAGATTAAAAAAAAAAAAAGATTAAAAAGTGGGCTGGAATTCTGACTAAATTAATACCTGGTCTTGCACCTGCTTAAACTAGAAAGATGGAGTAGTTCTTTGTCATCCTAAAATAAATTTGTGTATTTACAGAAACAAATTTTTCATTTTCAAGATAACAGGAAAAGTTTTATCTCACAAGAAAAATAAAATTCTTGTTAGATAGATGAGGCTGAAGTCAGAATGTGAACAAGGAGACTCAAAAATATAAAATGTCTGGCTGTCCTAGATACCCCTGTGGCTTGTCACCTGGATCTACTGGGTATTCACAGCATGTTCTGACCACAGCTATGTATGAGTTCATCAACAAGATACCAGAGAAAACTGATGAACACATTTGTGTTTATGATATGCCATGAACCAGGAAGGCAAAGGGTGAGTAATGTTTGCTGGCTGAGCAAAATGAGGACTACAATATTTATCTACATAGTATACACATAACATCAAACTACAACAATCCCAGGATGTTGGGATGTTTCTTACACAACAGGGAGTGAGTAGATTTTCTATAGTTCATGGGCAATTCTCATATGAGTTGGTTAATGGTGATCTAATTTTGAGGTCATTGACACTGCCTTGTCAGCAAACTTACGGAATTAATTCTGTAGAGTTTTTATGCAAACAAAGCAGTCTGCCACTGTTAAACACAGTGTCTTTTCCTGTCTCAAATGGTAGGAAGTTGTAAATGCTACAAGGGAGAACTGCCTCTGTGTGTATGTTGGAAATTTAGAATGTCTTGATGTAGGAAGCCCTTGATCATACAGATTACCTCAAAAAAACAAGCAAGCAAACAAACAAAAAACCTGCAATCCAGTACTCCAGACTGGAAAGCAAAATGAGCAGTTTGGACAGCACTTTCTCAAAGGATGAGATAGCCCAAGTGTTGGGATAAGATGATAGAGAAGGATATACCTTTGCTGATGAAACTTGGAATACTGCTGTTCTTCCAAACTGCCACTGCAGTGACCTGGGAACTGTTAGCAGAGATCTGATGAGCTAGTAATCAGTATGCTGGACAGCCCACCTATTCTACAACTACTGGGGAAGTACAGAGAGTAGAGAGTGCCAAGGGCTCCATGACTGGAGTATTAATCAGTAGAAAAAAAGGGGCTGCGTCGAAACTTTATTTTTGCATTTTATTGGCTGGCATTCAAGTCACGATCTCTATGGGATTAGTTTTAGACTCCATTGATGCAGCTGAGCTGGGCATTTTAATTCAGCACAGTTGCATGTGCAGATAGTAGCTCTGAGATGCTTGCTGGCTTGAGTCCTGAAAGCAGTATGACAGTGTCAGCTATAAATAATACAGCAGGTAATATACAGGCAATGTTGTTTTTTCTAATACTCTTCCTAATCTATTACAAGTTTTCTTTGGTATCTCTAACTGACACAATGTAATGCTGCATAGACTTACCCTTGATGAAGTGAAGTGCAGTGAAGCTCACTGGTTTTCCTGCATTTTGGCAATATGTAGCTCTATAGTCACAGCTGTGCTCTGGAAGGGAAACAGATGCCAAGTACAAAATATCAACTAAAGGCAAATTGTATGCTTTTTCTTGAGGGATAAAAATCCAGAAGAAAAAAGTCCTTAGTTTGTTTAGCTTCTGCCTTCACCCCATGCCACCATTGTGCCAATCGGAAGGCCTGGGCACCCTGTGGCTGTATGGCTGAGGGGGCAGCCTGTTTCCTGCATCATTGCAGTACCAGTGGTACCGCCTGTAAGTGTCTGTGGGCTGGGCACCAGAGGTCCCCTGAACACTGGTGTCAGTTGTGCCGCAGGTCCTATCCCTCTACCCATGACACTTCTTCTTGCTAGGTGCATTCCTTCTTGGTGCTTCCTTGGATTGCGTCACTGTCCCCTCATGCTGAGGAGGGCTGCCACTCGCCTTCCTGCTTCTGCTCTTCTTCCTGCCACACAAGTTGGCTGTCAGAGGGCCTAGAAGCTCAGCAAGTGGTGGGGCTGGTTTTAAAGGGCCTGAAGCAAAGGTGGGGCAGTGGTGGCCACTGTGACCTCAGCCAAAGGTGGCTGTATTGGGAGCAGCCTGGAAAATGCCTTCATGTGGAATACGGAGGAGGGTTGAAGGGGCTGAGGGCCCCTTTTCTGGGGCTGGCTCCCCCGGGCCATTTGGCTTGCCAGAGAGAAAGGCTGCCCCTCAGCCACAAGGCCTGCCCTCCACCTCCCATCTTGTGCCCTGGGTTTATTTTTTAACACTGTTTCACTGTTTTTTTTTTTTTTTTTTTTTTTTTTTTTTTTTTTTAGGTAATTTCATTCTATTCTTTATGGAAAAATACAGAAGCAAGGTGCATCTTCAGCCCTAATTCCCATGTGCACTTTGTGCTCTGAGTGAAGAATTTCTTCTTCACATCATATCTAATTTAAATCTCCCCTCCATTTGTTCAAAGCCGTTATTCCTTGTTCCATCACTACACTCTCTGCTAGAGTCCATCTCCAGCTTTCTTTCATCTTAACTTGGGGTTGCTCAGAGGCTCTAGAGGTGCAGGGACTTGAGACCTCTTCCCAAATAATCAGTATCCACAGTATACAACATTAGCTTTAGCTATCCCCTGCCCCAGTCTCCCCATCTCCAGTGACAGCAGGAATGCTACCTGCTTGTGTTCATGTGAGTGACTGAGCTAGCAAAAACCTATGCTTTGTTCCCTTCTAATTACAACAGTAACAAAACATTGTTACTGTTCTCAGAATTCTGGTAAACTAGAAACAAGAAGATCACGGTGATGTCAACAGAGAACATTTCTGAATAATGTTATTTTATTATCTATTTTGTCTTATGTTGTGTCTGATTATGAAGCTCAAAGTGAGGTAAGTCACAGGTAAGTACATGCATACCTGCCACCCACATATATTGAAGTTGTTCCTCACAGCTGGTCAAGAAATCCTGTAAATACTATAAATCAAGTATTATAATAAAATTTTACAATAATAATAATTAAAAAAGCCCATGCCTTTCCCTAATTTTGTATGCAGTGCAAGCAGAGATTAAGATGACAGCAGTAAGGTATGAGAAAGGATGAAGCTTAAAAGAGTAAGACTGTAATACAAATTAGTCTGATCATGTTCACAACTGAAGAGACATGACTAGAATTTTTTTTGTTTGTTTTGTTTTCGCAGCCAAATGTTAAAAACCACTTGTTCCTTCACAGAAGTCAATAACATTTTGTGTAAACCAATGTACTGTCAGGGAAATCTCAAAACTTTGACAAAAAGGGAAGGCAGAGGTAGTTGGCTGGGTTTGCAGATTTCCAGGATGCATATGAGCCTTGGTGGTAGCAGGGAGGAAGAAATCACAGAGTCATATCTTAAGGCGGTAGGTTCAGGAGCTATGTGTATGCTTCTTTCTTAAACCATCTGCATAATATTATTTTTCCTTTTCATTTGAATGTTTCTGAAAGTGTTTCTAGTCTGTATTTGCATACAGACACCAGAGGATGACGCATTAAATCTTCAAGCTGAACTGAGCATAATGTGCTCAAATGAAGCAGAGAAATATTGCTGTATCAAAGCCACAGATAATGTTTCGGATGCAAAATTTACCCAGCAAGTTGCTGGAAAAGTGCAGTGTCTTGGGTCTTGCAGTAATAGAAATAGTATTTAACTAAACACTGTTGTGGTTTAAAACTAGCAGGCAGCTCAGCACCATACAGCCACTTGTTCACCCTTCCCCCCAGGTGGGATGAAGGAGGGAGTCAGAAAGGCAAAAGTGCAAGAGCTCATGGGTTGAGATAAAGACAGTTTACTAGGTAAAGCAAAAGCTATGTGTGTAAGCAAAGCAAAACAAGGAATTTGCTGCTTCCCATCAGCAGGCAGGTGTAAGCCATTCCCAGGAAAGCAGGGCCTATCACATGTAAAGGTTTATTGGGAAAACAAACACCATCACTCCAAACATCTCCCCTTTACTCCTCTACCTCAGCTTTTATTTTTGACCGTTATGACATATGGTATGGAATATGCCTGACTAATCTCAGTCAGCTGTCCTTCTTGTGTCCTTGAGCACCCCCAGCACCATCACTGCCAGGCCAACATGAGAAGCAGAAAAGTCCTTAGCTCTGGGTGAGCGATGCTTTGCAACAACTAAAACATTGGTGTATTATCAGTGCTATTTTCATCAAAAATCCAACACACAGCATTGTGTGAACCTCTACAAAGAAATTTAACTCTGTCCTACCCAAACCATAGCAAACACAAACATTTTTTTTTTTTTTTACTTACAAAGAGTACATGACAAAGTATCAAATCTTTAAAAGGGCCTAAAATCTACCTAGCACTGTAAATCAGCTATGCAAATCAAGATTTTGAAAAAAAAAAACAAGTTAAAGTTATCATCTGCTCAGTCTATTTAGGAAAAAAAATCAGCCAACCAAACAAAATAAAAAAAATAAATAAAAAACAAAGCACCACAACACACACACAAAAACAAACAAAGCTTGAACAGACAATTTAAATTTCTTCTTATATCATGTGGAACTTAGAGGTCGGAGGTGTCACCTTCTGATGTTATGATATCATATTATATTCTTGTAATATAATAGATAAGATGCATCATGTTTGACTCTGTTGTATTAGGCCACACTTGAAAAGCTGTTTCTAAAGTGTGTTTTATCACTTTACAGACACAGCATTGCTCTAAACATTGGCATGAGGTCGCTGAGATCACAATATGTTACAAATGGGATGAATCTCCATCATTACAGATGCTGAATAAAATTTATCTGAATGTTTCTGCTTTCTGACTCTGCAAAGTTTTCTTTAGTAATTCCAATGCACAGATGCAGTTTTTGGATTCTTAGCAGAAAAAAATGAGGGACTTCTCTATTTTCAAAGAAAACATTCAGAATTTACCCAGAATCCTCTATCTTTTACATTTCTTTCTGTGAACTTTGGTTTAGTAACAGGCAGCTTGACTGCTATGACAACTTGAATACTACAAACAACATTTTGATGGTGAGTTTCTTAGCCACTTTTTTTTTTTTTTTTTTTTTTCTTTTAAGGGACCAAATTTCTGTTTTAAGTATTAGTGAAATTACAGGATATCAGCAAAATATATGGAGTTGGGTTGCTCCTCAGATCTTGTCTCTATAAATGTACTCCTGCAGCTCTCAATGTCTCATAACTACAAATTCAAAGCAGAAGATTTCAGGAAATGGAAAAAGACAAACAAGCATATTTAAATGTATGCTGCCACTCATGACTCAATATATTTTTTGCATCATGAAGTTTGTATTGGGCTTTGTTTTTTTCCTTGGGCCTGCTTCTTTCTCTTTTCTGTGTTAGATATTTTGCTTGGTAGATGTATGCTTACCTGTAGCTAAGGTGTTATTTACAAATTGCTGCTAAGTCAAAGACATTTTTC